TAGCAATAGGTAATGGTTACCCTATCATGGTAACCTCAAACCTAACGTCACCTCACACGATGATTTCTAATGCGAAAAATAAATAACTACTCTACACTATTATTTTAACTGTAATAATAAATGGTAAAAAACACGATACCGAGTGGACCACATTTGAAGGTCCGTAAAATATCGAGAAACACGAATTTACCACTTTAGGATTGCCATTGTTCACTATTCGTCCTAAAGCTTTCAGCAACCATAGCAACACAAAACGACACCTGAAACTCGGATGACCAAGGGCAAAATCGTCCAACTTTCACTTTATTGCTCGAAACTGAAATTGAACAACTCCGTAGGTCCGTATCACCACCAGCAACATTTTGTCTTTTGACACCTTCCTCGAATTTCGTTGGACGCGCCCGTACGAGCCTCGTCGACTTTCCCACGTGACACTCTTCCGACTTCATCTCCGCCTGCACAGTCCACCAACGGTTTGTTTCTCCAACCTACCACTAGTTTGGCCGAAGGTTCGGCCGAAAAACGCCAAAACAGTTCCGGGTAGATTTTTTAAAATCTAGACAGTTTTTGTTCCAGTTTTCCAGGTTGATTTTTGCCTACTTCCAACTACTTTTTGGTCGAAAAAATCACAAATTTCTGAATAACATAAGCTCTGATACCATTTGTCATGAAATCCCTCGAGAAATCTTGATTTCGGACTCAGAAAATAACCAAACGTACACCAATTTATCTTGGCTTGACCCAAACCTTTCTTCACTTTTGGTGCCCCCTTTCAACATGCATGAAGGATAGAACTATAGTGATTGGTGATTAATGTGCATCCACAAAAGAAGAAGAGAATAGAAGAAGCAATGGTTGAACTCTTGGCTACCTCACGTTTTTCTCTCCATTGCACACACTAACACACACACACACGACTGAGAAGATGGATAAATAGCGTAGTATTAGTACCAATAATTGGACTTAACTCTCCTCAATGGGCCAGACCAAGTTCATACTTACTACTAAATGGTCTAACAAATCAGAAAACCATCCAACCCAAACTTGGACCATCCAAAAGTGTCAATCGTATTCGAGTTGAGCCAAGTTCATAGTATCGATAAATTATCCGACAACTGTTTTAAATCATCGCCTGAATTTATTAGGTATCAAAACCCAATAGATACTACACCAGTCTTCCTAGTGGATCCTTCTTATTGGCGCAATTCCTTGTTATTTGGTGAAAAACAAAACCACAGTTAATTGTCAAATAGGGACCTTAATGATGCAATGTGATAAATAACTTCAATAATTCAAAACTTTTCGAGTCAAGGAAATGTCCCAAGAGGACTAGCAATAAGGCTAAGCATGATGCAAATTTTTAACTAAGAATAAAATTATTTACGACAGTCGATCAACCATAACAAACACCATTTTAACATTCATCTTAAGTGTGGCTACTCACCATTGTACATTTTTATTGCATCGACAAGCGAGTGACGTTAACTATTTTGATTTTAATAGTGGAAAATCTGTGATGTAACTTGGTAACTTTAAGATTTTCCATTGAAAATGTTTTTTCCCCCTAACACACTACTGTTGCAAAAGAAGATGATGTGATTAAAAGAGATCCTCAATTACAATTTAGACACTCTAAGATCAATTTTCAATTAGGTTTCCATTTCAAGGATGGAGTATAGTAAACAATGTTGACATTCAGGATACCAAATTACCTGCAAAGATTAATTAATTGCCTTAGTTTCGAAGAAGAAGAGGTTATGATTGAAATTTTGTTTTTACTAGAATAAAGAATTTGGGGGGGGGGGGGGGAATGTAGTTGATTGTAAATAGGGACCTTAACCATGCTATTTCATAAATAACTTCAAATAGGCAAAGCCATTCAAGTTAGGACAATGTCCCAAGAGGACTAGCAATAAGGCTAAGCATGATGCTAACGTTTAACTAGAATTAAAATTATTTACGATAGCCAATCCGCCATAGCAAATGCCATTTTGACCTTAGTCTTAAGGATTGCACATTTTTATTTGATCGACAAGTGAGTGACACCAACTTTTTTTTATTTTAATATTTGGAAATCAATGATGTAACTTGGTATCTTTCATAAGCTCCATTGAAAGTTTTTCCCCCCCGTAATACACTATTGATGGAAAAGAAGACGATGTGATTATAAGTCGTTTCATCTTTTGTAACATGTCTTTATTTCCTGAACTTTATCAGCAATTCATTGAATAGAATCCTTATTTATTGTCTTTTTTGCCTGATAAGCAGGGGCGAATCCAGGATTTTGAGTTAGCACGGGCGGTCGTTGACCATCTACCGCCGATCGCAACAAAATATTAAGAGTCCGTTTGATGCCATTTTTTTTGGTAAAAAATGCATTTTTGAACAGTAATTTCAAGGAGAAAGTGTGGCTAAAAATAAATAAATTTTTTGAATTTGCGTATAATATTATTTTATTGAAAAATGTGTAAATAAAAAGAAGAGAAAAAATGGGAATCGAATAAAGCCTAAAGTTTAAATATAACAATTATTTTGTTCAAATTAAATATATATAATTTTGTTATAAGAATAAAAATGACTCATTAAATGACATTATTATCAAGTTTTGTATAATTCAAAGGAAGAGCGCGGATTTTAATATTTACAATTTGGCTTAAACTAGTTAAAACGTAATAAATATTGTTTTGTAAGTGAGTTGATACAAATCAAGAAGTGCCACAATGGTTAAGTTGGCCACAACCCTTGCAAGAGTTTACAGGTTCGAATCCCTTTGCCTCCATCTTCATAAAAAATTTGGTAAAACTTGTAGAATATGAATAATGCACAAAAATCCCTTAATAAGGAATTGAACCCTAGACGTCTATAAAATATGCAACATCCAACCAACTAAGCTACATGGGTCATTGAGAACAAAATGACTTACCAGTCATATAAGTTAAACTTTAATCTGTTGCCAACAAAAAAAAATTCTCCTGGCGGATCCAGCACGCGCGGCCGCGGGTGCTCGCCAGGTGCTGGATCCGCGCCTGCTGATAAGTATCAAACCATAAATCACGGGTCTCTAATGAACAATTGGAACAATTGTTTAAAACCAAGGCAATCAATTAATCTTTGACAGGTAGGTTATTGAATGCCAATAATGTAGGTAAAAGATAGTTTATACTGTCCTCAATATCCGAGCAAGTTTGAAAAAGAATTTTATAGTCTCTTAACGTCTTTTTTATTTTCCTTTTCATCTGAGTTATTCCATAAGAACTTGCGATGATAAGTAATGTTTTGGGAATGTGGCTAATAACCAAAATGAATGAATGGTTAATCTATTCAAACGGGAATTAATAAGTCGATCCACACACACACATATATTTATATATGCACGTCTTACTTTTACTGTTGTATCAAGAAATAAAGATGCTTTTTTTGTATTGCAAGTGCTTGTACAAGACTTTGAGATTTCCATTTCAACTGAGATATTGAAATAGATAGTGGTAGACATTTGGGGAAAATGTGAAATTTTTAATCCCACATGGCTACATACAAGCCTAATATATATCCTCACGATACAATGAGAAATTACATTAAAGATTGAAAACAATGGCATCAAGTACAGGATTATAGTCCTTCTATGAACGAGTACTATAATTGAAAATCTAAATTCTTTGATCTCTTTCTTGTATGGGAAAGAACCCTTTTTGTTAATTATGATGTAAAAAAGAATCCTTTGACACCAAGGTGGAGGTTGTTAGGCAATTTGTTGTCAAACGACCTCCCCTAGGTTATGATGTTACTCGATTTAATTTTTCAATCGGCTTAGCCAAATGACTGAACGAGAATCTAACACTACATTCGAGACGATACAACCCAAAGATTAATTTGGCCACTCGAAGCAACCTAAATATTTTAGTGTTGCTCGTGGCCCAATCCACTTCCTTGGATAGCCTTTTAATTGAGAGAAAACTTGTGAGCCCACTTATTTATCTTTTGAGCCTCTAACTTAACCCATTGGTTAACCTAATTACATTTACCTTATTTGGCCTATTGGTTACAAGATAAATTGGTCTCTTGTCTCTCTAAGTGAGAGACCCATTCGCTGCCTCTCTCTCGATTGTTCCTATATGTTTTCTTCTTCTGCTCTTTCTGCCTCTTGTGACTAATCTTAGTGGTGATATTCTATGAGATTTCTTGCACCTTCGTGGTCTCCTAAGTGATATATCTCATTGGCAATCGGAAGTGAACTTGATATTGTCTTGAGTATGTACTTGTCTTCTTTGTGGTGATTGGAAGTGGGTATAAACTGAGCCTGGGTTATCTTTGGCGATTAATAGACTCTCTATACTTGGTAAGCACCTACAAGGTGGATAACAATGGCAACGTTGGCTATGTCTAGGAGCCAGTATGGGTTGCAGAAGCCAGAATCAGTGAGGAGATTTCCAGGCGAAAGGTCTCCAAATGCTGCGCAATCGAAATAGCCACAAGACATGTAGAAAATTGTTGTTACTACCACGCTTAATAGAGTTGCTTTCTTCATTGTCTTGTATTCTGATGGTGGGGATTTGATTGTATCTTGTTACAAAAACATTAAAAGACTCAAAATTAGGCTCTGTTTTAAGGTCGGCTCTACAAATTTGGACAGCTTAAAGCTAAAATATTGACCGTTATACTGTCCAATATTGCATACTTGTATTTCAATAAGGATGAGGGAGTAAGTGTTACATCCCATTTTATACTTAGTCAAAGGTCAATATCAACTAGTCAAAGTCCAAGTCAAATAGGAACTTAAATTGTATAAATTATTTTATTGGGATTTATTTTATAATTGACATTACTTAAGGGTTTTAAATGGCCATCATTAACCTTGGGGATTTAGTTTATAAATATGGAAAGATTAATGACTAAATTTTATGCGAAACATAATAGAAGGGACTTGATAGCAATTATGGGAGTTGGTAGAATACAAGTGGCACTTTGAAAACCATTACCTTCATTTTTCACTGGCACATACATATACTAGAACCTGGAAATGGGTAGAAGAAAAAAAAAAGCCAGAAAGAACCGAGATAAACCAAGAGAAAGAAAGGAGAAGAGGAGAAGAAGAAGGAAGAAAAAGAGAAGAAGATGAAAGATAAAGGAAATATAAAACACTAGGAAACTAGAATCTGGGAACTATTCCATCTTTTCTCCAATTTAAAGTCCTGTTTGGCTGTAATATAAGGTAAGTTAAGAACTTTCATTTGGTTGAAATATTCTCTTTTGAGCTAAAGTTTTAGTGGAGTTGAGAATAGTAATAAAGAAGAGCATGACATTGAAGAGTGATGGGAACTAAAGAGCGGTATGTGTTCGTAAAATTGTCATAGAGAAATTAGTCATTATGGGAGTTTAGTGTAGCTTGCTTATTTGAAATTACCATTTAATTAAATGAACTTGTGATTAAAGAGCAAAGATTTGAAATGGAAAATTGGGCATTTATACGTATAGTGGCAAACATGTATGTAAGAAACAAGGAAAGGAAATTGAATAGTTAGAAAGACAATTGAAAATTCTATATGCACAAAAGTAAGAAGGTGTTGGGTTCTTGCTTCAGCCAACCAAACTAGAAAAGGAAAGAAATGTTTTGTGTCATTTTATTAATACTTTGGAATGGGAAGTTGTGTATATATCGGCATATGGATATGTGTGCTCACTTGACTAAAATGGGAAGATAAAAAGGAATGAGTAATAGTTGAGACTTTGAGGATTGCTATTCATGTATTGGTTAGGAAACTAGATTCAATAGTTAGTAATTTGAATGAGTAACTCATTTTTCAGGAGATAGCAAGACTGGGAATGCTTGTTTGCAGAATTAATCTTTGTTCAATACATAGTCCAGTGAGTGGATAAAACTTAATTTTCAGAAACAAGTATTCATTAAATTTTGAAATTACTTATTTTATAAAGTTAAGTTGATAGCATGATTTTCAGAATAAAATTGATTTTATAATTAGTTCTTTTTAATGTTTGATTTAGTTCAATTAAATCATTTTATTAGCATGTTCTAATCGTATTACATATTTCAGTATAGTTAAAGTTATTTTTAAAACTACCAGAAAGTACCCAGGTAATTTTACCCCAGTCTGTACTGGTGTGAATATGTTTTTACAGTGTATGACTAGTTATGATGATTTTACCCCCTCTACATATTTTGAATGTGTTTCCATAGTGTATGACCAAATTATCAAAGGTCTTTGAGACCCACTCTCGTACACATAGGCTTTGGGCCGTGTATTAGGGTGATTAGCTTTTGGGACAGCTCTGCGTACGTATGACCACAATATCAGAATATCAAATTATCAGATTTGAATAGCTTTGCCTTGTACATCGTGATTACTCTGTACATGAGTAGTGCTATTCATTAGGTACATTTTTGGTGTGATTTTTCAGTGCTTCTACAGCTTATCAGATTTCAGATTATAGAGTTCGGTCTATTCAATTCTCAGAGTAAAGCTTCCAGCTTATAGTATTGAACATCAATATTTCACAAATTTTCATATTATTTATATTCGTTATATTTTACAGTTATTGAACTAGTATAAAGAACAAAGAATTTTATGATCCAATCATGTTTAAGTTTTAAAAGTGCTACTAGTTTTTAGAATTTCTCAGAGTTTTAATAGAGCAAAAATTTTCAGAAAATATGCATAAATGAGAAAAGTTTACTTATTTGTAAATTATCCACTCACTGGGCTTTAAACTCATATATATATTTTTTTTACCTTTTTTTTTATCAAACAGATAGCAGTCGAATTGAGTAGCTTTGGAGCATGTCAAACCACCTAATTGAGCCACGCGTCATAGGTTGTATGATTATCAGATTATATATTTTGTTCTTTTGGGATACATGTAGGTTAAATCAGAAAAGTTCATTATCGGCTCACTAGATATTTGGTATTGCCAGCATTTTATTTGAATAGTTTGTATTTTGAGGGACTGTCGTACCCTATTCATATTGTAGGTATTGATTCGAGAAAAAAATGATTATTGTTCAAGTGATTTAGTTCATATTTCAGGGAAACTATGCCAAGATTTTGTTAAAAATATTTTTCAGTCAAGCAAGTCAAAGTTGCCTTGGTGGTGGGACCGACATTTAGCTAGTATCTACCATCGACGCACGACACGTGTCGAGTCTATTAAAGTGATTCGAGACAGGTTGTGTGTTAGTAAGAATAGGCAAAAGCTATGGCCCCAAGAGCTTGGAAGCTTCTCCATATTTTTTTCCATTTGAGTGACATATTAAATGTTAATTCCAGTGAGACTTCCCCTAATTTTTCCAGTTTCTAAAGCAAAAATGCATATACTATTAGGTTACAACACTTGAAATTGACAAATTTGATGCTTTTAAAGCAGAATATAAGAGTGAAATGAAAAAAAGGGGTTCCTTTCCTACCTGCAACTTTGGCAATTCCAAGGCCTAAACCAATAGTTGAGCAAGTAAAAGACATGACCGCAGCAACTATTGAAATTTAATGCTTTTATAAAATGTTTCTAGAATATTTCGTGTCCTAACTTTTTTCTTCAGAAATAACATTTTCAAGCATCATGTTTTTTTTATTATCATGCAACTAAAGTTCATGTACATGAAACATATTAAGGAGTTAACTCTCTAATAGCTTTAATTTTTAAAAGAAACGGTTAGATGTATATTACACGGGACAAATATCCTGTAATTACTAATGCTTGAAGGATTCGATATGAGTTTGTGAGGGAGTTGCCATATTCTTGAAGATGAATTCTTAACAAAATCACGGTTAATTGAAAAAACAATCCCAAGAACCAACATAAAAATATAAAATAAGTAAGAAGGCAAGATCTATCGTAATTACTTATTTTATTATGCTACAAACATAAGAAAAACCTTGTATGAACACTTTATTTATCACTCTGTTTCTGGTTAGAAATCTCAGCTAAGGATATTATTCCTCACATGTGTGTTCCTATATTACATTAAAGAAAAAGCAATCTTGCCATCTGCTATATTCAAATAAGATTTAGGGTGGAGACTAATTCCTTCCCGATAATAAAGATGCTACACCAATCTTTCCAGTGGATCCTTCTTATCTGTGCAATTCCTTCGTATTATTTTTTTATCCAATAAAAAAAAAGATTCTTTCTTATTTGGTGAAAAATGATAAGTGTGTTTTTGCACACTTATTTAAGTCACAAACATGACTTAATAATGAGCAAAATGATTGAATTGTGATTTAATCTCATTATATTTGTGAATTGTAGGGAACATGGTGAAATTCAGAAGAAAAGAGCCGAAAAAGACTAAAATGGAGCAAAATGATAGTTCGAGGACGAAGTTGCAAATAATCCATAGATGAGACGGGAAATGGAATGAAGATTCAAGAGTGTTAGAGGTTAATCAGATGAGGAAAAGAGTCAAGAGGTGAAATATGATCGAAATATTATCAAGTATCAACTTTCAGGCGAAAAAGCTATGCTCGTGATTTTTAATCTCTACTTGAGATCCATTTTTGACATAGTAAACATCAGAATTTGAGGAATCCTATTTCTATAAAAAGTGTAGATCTTTGAGTTTTCTTCACAATGCACTTTGAATCACTTCAATCGAAGATCAGGAGAGAAAGTTATGATCAAAATACTAAAAGCTATCAGCGGAAAGAATGGTATAACTATGCGGTCGCATAGTATAAATTCTATGCGGTCGCATAGAAGCCTCCAGAGAACTTTTTCTCAAATTGTTTTTACTCTATGAGACATCATAGAAACGTACTATGCGGTCGCATAGAACAAGATTCGGGGCCGATTCAGCAGTTTCCTTATTTTGCCGAAACTCTTATGGAAAGGAGATTTTTAGGGTTCTATATAAACTAAAACTCGACCAGAATGAAGGGACGCCACTTTTACAAAATTGGAGGGGATTATACACAATTTTGGAGGATTTGGAGAGGAAGAACAAGGCAAAAACAAGGCAATCCACTTCAAAATTCAAGATTTCACTTCAAGAATCAATTTGGTGATGTTCTTCCTTGGTTTTAATTATTGCTTTTCTTTATTTCCCATTATGTTAGGCTAGATTTTCATGTGCTAGGATTTGCGATGAACCTTACATTATGAACCCTTAATCTTGAATTTTATTTATTTGACGTTAAAACATGTTTTTAATTATTGAATTATTGGCATGGATTTTATTTTCTCTACAATTATGTGCGCAATAGTTGTATGAGCTTTGTGGTTTGTTTTACCCTCGAGAGATGGAAAATAAGTTAGACATTATGTTAATTATCGTAAAGTTCGATAGGGGATAGAAATATACCGCTATGCTTTACGTGATCTTTAAGTATTCATAAATCTTTAATGCATTTTTATATGTTCGCATCCGTCATAGAAATATAGTCAGATCGCATGTAAAAATAGGTTTAATTCTACTTGAGAGAGATTGTTAAACAAATTAGGAATATTGGTTTTCATAATTGAATCGTGTTGTCAATTTTATAAAATTCGGATTAAAGAGGATTGATATAAGGGAATTCGGAATCCTAGTACGCATTTCATTATCATATTTTTATAAAACTTGCATTTAGTTATAATCACACATTTAATATAGTTAATTTAGGCTTTATATTTATAAGTAGTTATTAAATCATAATTTAGTTAGCGAAAATATCAAGAATTTCTATTGTTTCGGTTAAGGCGACGATAGGTAAAATTGAACTAATCAATCCCTGTGGGACGATATTCGGACTCATTTAATCCACTTTATTACTTGTTAACGAACCGTACACTTGCGGTAGTTTTAAATCGAAAGAAATAATTTCGCGAACAAAAAACAAAACCATAGTTAATTGTAAAAAAGGGACCTTCATCATGCAATGTGATAAATAAATTCAATAATTCAAAGCTCTTCGTGTGGAGGAAATATCCCAAGAGGACTAGCAACAAGGCTAAGTATGATGCAACTTTTTAACCAAGAATAAAATTATTTACGACAGTCAATCAACAATAACAAATGCCATTTTAACTTTCGTCGTAGGTGACGTGGCTAGTCAATATTAAACATTTTTATTGCATAGACAAGCGGGTGATGTCAACTATTTTGATTTTAATGGTGAAAAATCAGTGATGTAACTTGGTACCTTTAAGAAGCTCTATTGAAAGTGTTTTTCCCTCTAACACACTAATGATGGAAAAAAAGACGATGTGATTATAGGAGATCCTCAATTACAATTTTGACACTCTAAGATCATTTTTCAATTAGGTATGTGAGAATTATTCAGTAAACTTATGGTCATCCTTTTGTGATGCAGTTATATTTGTAGAAGCAGTTGCGCTTATAGCTTCTGGCACTGTTCATCGAGTTTGTATCACAACCTGGTAATGCAATAATGCTTCTGATCTTTACTTGATCGTCATTGTATTTTTATATTTTGAATAAGAAGTCAAATTTTAATTGTATATTTAATTTGAATTCATAAAGTAGCAGGCATTATAGAATACATTTTCGAATAAACTGGTTCCTCGTAGTTTCACAAGAACACTAGAAAGTTTAAGAAGTGTGGCCAAACCCAAAGGAGTCCTTACTGGTTGATCTCCATTTAGGTTAAATTGAAAGTATACCTTAGCTCAGACTTTTGTTGACTAGTTTCTTTTGATATATGTTCAAGCTAAACCTACACGAATAAAATCATATTCAACTCTATGTGATGTACTTTTATCTGCTGTTCAAGCCCCTACCTTTAAAGACTTCGAATGGAAGAAGACTTACCAAAAATTAGGGTAGAGTTGGGCAGTTAGTTTGTAGTTAGAGACTCAGAGTCATGACTGCATCTTTTTCCTGCACTAATGAATATGGAATTTTTAGCCACATCATCCAAATGCATGTTCTTACTATTTATAACTTTCAAAAATAAAACAACGTTTCTCTGTGGGAGGCATCATTGCTTTTGGGGTGGCTTCCACTTCTCTGAAGGGACAATCTCTCATACTCCAGGAAGTAGCCTAAAAATTGGTCTAGCAACTGGCCAAAAGATATTGATATATTTAACAAACTGCTTCACTGGCATCTTGGGATTGACCATGAATTTTAATTTTATGTAATAAGTTAAAATTCTCACCTTCTCAAGTCACATTCTATTATGTTATTATTGCCTTGAAAAATACTGATGAAAAAACTTAAATGCTATAACAAATTATTTACTGTGTAAAGTATTCACACTCTGATTAAGTGCTTTTAGGATACCAATGCAGCTTTCTATTTTCTGCTGGGCTATTATACGAGATCAGCGTTGAAAGTAAAGCCGCATTTTTTGACCAAATAGATAAGGTTGTTGCTTTCTTAATGGTTAAGAAAAATACATACATGCATGCAAAGGTGGTGGTGGAAAAATTGGAGTTTCCAACTAATGACAAGTCAAGTTACAATCATTATACTTGATATTTTCCAGCAATTGTTGACCTGGGGCATATTACTTACATTTAATGCAAAGTGTAAAATGTTGACTTCACAAAATTGTAAAGGAAATGACAGTCAAATGTGCAAAAGGTTCCAGCCAATTTTCTGAAGCATTAGGTGGTGGAATTCAGTGTAAAAGGCGGCTAAATTTCCTATAAATATAGGAGTGGAGTTGGAGAGAAAATATGTGTGCACGCGTGTGGAGAGGAGAAAAATTGAGAAAGAAAATTTTTAGTAGAGAGAAAAATTAAGAGAATAGAGAGATAAAAATATTGAGAGAAAAAAATTTATTGTTTTCTCCTAGGTATTTCCTACTTGTTTTCTTTTAATTACGAGAGAGATTATTTGTTTTTATCTCCTTGTATTTAGAGAGTGTTGTAATTCTCCTACTACAGTGGAATCCTCCTATACTTGCCCGTGGACGTAGCCTAAATTATGTGAACCATGTAAATACTTGTGTCCATTTTTAGCTGGCATTTCTCTATTCCATTATTTATAAGCTAAAGTCGACCCACAAGTTTGCTCTCCAACAGTGGTATCAGAGCAAGGTTCTGTATAGGGTCGTTGTTCAATCATAGTAT